ACAATTGGTTCGCAAACTCTTCGGCTTTCCTTTCAAACCATTCAAAGGACAGACAAATACATCGAAACTCAAGAAATATAGCGAACGAAGGATTTTAGGGTTTGTTTTGATGGATATTATTGGTTGAAATGAATGATATATTTGTGTCAATTGATGGACAGGTACTCGAAGGACCAGTTGTTTGAAGTGGTGTCACGAGTGGACGACTATCACCTCTTCGTTCCCGCGTGTGTAAAGTCACGAGTGATTGAACGGCACAACACATCCCTCACAGCGGAGCTGGAGATCGGAATTCCGCCACTCATTTGGGAGAGATATACCTCTCGAGTGGTTCTTCAAAGACCGCATTTAGTGTCCGCTAAATGTATTGACGGAAAACTGTTCCGCTATTTGGAGACCAATTGGCGATTCGGCGACGGATTGGCTCACAATCCGCAGACCTGTTCTCTCGATTTCAACGTCTCGTTTGAATTTCGGTCTTTAATTCACTCACAATTGGTTCACATATTCTTCGATGAAATGGTTCACAAGACTGTCAACGCCTTCCTTAAGAGAGCGGAACAACTCTATGGCAAACAAACTCTTCCCACAATTAGCACTCGTTTATCTCATAAGACATAACTTTTTCCAAGTGTTAGGTTTTAACTAATTTTAAGGCAAATTATTTAATTTATTAGACACTAAATAATAAATTTGTTGTGATTTTTAAAGTTAATGTAAATTTTATTTTATTACTAAATGTCTATTAATATTAGGATTATATTGTAATATATTTTGAATATATTGTAATGGATTACAAAAATACACATTTTTCAATAAACCATATATTTATTTACTAAATTTTAATTACTTTTCAAATATAAAAGTTATGGAAAAATTAGAGTAAATCTAAATCAAAACAAAAAACACGATTTAATCGAAGCAAATAAATTGCAAATTATTTAAAAAAAAGACTAATCAATTGAGTGATGAGAGGAGTAATGAAAGAGTAATTGTAATTAAACTAATAATATTGAGACAAATGAAGGGACAGTTAGTTCTCCCACTTTCCCAGTATTTCGCTGTCTCTGAAGATGAAGTACTCCTTGTCTTCGATCTCGACTTTGGTTCCGCCGTATTCGGGAAGAAGCACTTTATCGCCGGTCTGGACACTAGTGGGCACCGGCTCTCCCTTGTCGTTGCGAGAACCGGGACCGACGGCCACAACAGTCCCGGAGTGCACTTTTCCCAAAGCCTTCTCGGGTATCATAATTCCTCCCTTGGATTTGGTTTCGGCCACAAATCGCTCGACTAATACACGATCAAAGAGTGGGACTAAACGCCGCGCTATCGATGCCTAAAATACAAACCATACCATCACTGTGTCATTCAATCATGTAATATACTATTCATTATAACAATAATTATACCATTTCTTTGTGAGGTTTGAATTGAGAAACTAATCGTCAAATAAAATGCCAATAAATTGCAAATCAATTGATTTGATGCAAAAAATGAGTGACTCTTTGGAGTGAATGAGAATCAGTGATAGACTGAGAGACAGAGATTGAGAGACATGTGCTCTACAATGCACTCAACACTACTCTGCATAACATAAGCCATACTCTCTGCGAAACTTCTCGAAACTCTGGCCCCGACAGCTCACCCACCACTTCCACCCCTAATTGTAACCATAATTAAGCATTAATTGTATCAAATCAACGAGAAATACATTGAAACCACTTGAAGGATATTTTTGGGACAAATTAAAATGAAATTAGGAAAAGTTTGAATGGTTTGAATGGCATGAAAATTATTGAATACATGTTTGGGTGACATTACATAAGCCGGCATTCATTGATGCAAATGTGAAGGCATTGAGAGTTTGTTTGTCACACACTTTGAGTCGATCTCACAGTAAATCTCATTTGAAACGCTCTCTCATTCTGTACCCAACCCTCGGTTTGCACTCAATTGTGGTCTCAATTCAATCGTTTCCGCAATTAATTAATTGTTATTTTGATTTCATTTCAAACATAACACAAACTGTAAGTCATATTCGCATTAATATTGCAATTGTTTTACTATTTTAAAAGTATTTCATTAAAAGTTTTAAAGTTTGTCAAAAACACGTGCTTTTAGTGATAGATCTGTCCTTTAAGTGACAATTAAATTAACTTTTTTGGCCTAAAATTGATTTATAATTAAAATTTTGGTCGATATTTAGATTTTTGGTCAAAATGTACAGAATTTCGTCAGTATTGCGGACATCAGTTTGCCGTCGATTGTCTGCCACTGGATGTCAGTTATCGCGAAATTATGCCAAAGATATTAAGTTCGGTGCAGACGTGAGGGCACAGATGTTGGCCGGAGTGGACATATTGGCGGATGCGGTGGCCGTCACGATGGGTCCGAAGGGACGGAACGTGATTATCGAGCAGTCGTGGGGTTCGCCGAAGATCACCAAAGACGGGGTGACTGTCGCCAAAGCCATTGAACTGAAGGACAAGTTCCAGAACATCGGCGCTAAACTGGTTCAAGACGTGGCCAACAACACGAACGAAGAGGCCGGAGACGGCACCACCACTGCCACAGTCCTCGCCCGAGCCATCGCTAAGGAAGGCTTTGAGAGGATCTCGAAGGGCGCGAATCCCATCGAAACCCGACGCGGAGTGATGTTAGCCGTCGACAGAGTTGTGGAGAAACTGAAAGAGTTGTCTAAACCGGTGACCACTCCTGAGGAGATCGCACAGGTGGCCACCATCTCTGCCAACGGCGACAAAGCCATCGGCGATTTGATCTCATCTGCTATGAAGCGCGTCGGACGGCATGGAGTGATCACTGTTAAGGACGGCAAGACTCTGGTCGACGAGTTGGAAGTGATCGAAGGGATGAAGTTTGACCGTGGTTACATTTCCCCATATTTCATTAATACACCCAAAGGCGCAAAAGTGGAATACACTGACGCTCTGCTTCTCATCACCGAAAAGAAGATCTCTTCGGCCCAATCGATAATACCTGCGCTGGAAATAGCGAACCAACAGAGAAGACCACTCGTGATAATCGCTGAAGACGTTGACGGCGAAGCGCTCACTACTTTGGTTTTGAACCGTTTGAAGATTGGCCTTCAAGTGGTGGCCGTGAAAGCGCCCGGTTTTGGCGACAACCGGAAGTCAACTCTTCATGATATGGCGATCGCCACCGGAGGACAAGTGTTTGGAGACGACGCCAGTTTAGTGAAGATCGAAGACATCCAACCCTCAGATTTGGGACAAATTGGAGAGATTGTCATCACTAAAGAGGACACACTTTTGCTAAAAGTTTGCTTTTTGTTTAGTATTTCTATTGAGTTTTGTTATTAAATGTGATTTTTTGAATTATAGGGAAAGGGTTTGAAAGAAAATGTGGACAAAAGAGTGAATGATATTAAGGATGAAATGGATTTATCAAATTCTGAGTACGAAAAGGAAAAGTTTGCCGAAAGAATCGCCAGACTGTCCAACGGTGTGGCTGTTCTGAAAGTCGGCGGTTCCAGTGAAGTGGAGGTCAATGAGAAGAAGGACAGAGTGAACGATGCGCTCAACGCTACTCGCGCTGCCGTCGAAGAGGGCATTGTTCCCGGCGGTGGAACCGCTCTCCTGAGAGCCATTCCATGTCTCGATGATCTTAAGGTTGATAACGACGACCAAAAAACAGGTATAGTTTTGATGGCAATTATTGCGAACACTTGTGATATAACGTTGATATATATTAGGCGTGGAAATGATCAAAAAGGCTCTGCGGATGCCGTGTATGCAAATCGCACTGAACGCCGGTTTGGACGCATCGGTTGTGGTCTCGAAAGTGATGGAATCAAATGACGTGAACTTCGGTTTCGACGCTTTACTCAACAAGTATTGCAATCTAATAGAGGCCGGGATTATCGACCCGACGAAAGTGGTGCGAACCGCTCTTATGGACGCCGCAGGTGTGGCCTCACTCTTGACTACCGCTGAGTCGGTTGTGGTTGAGTTGCCGAAGGAGGAGAAGGATATGGGCGCAGCCGCTGGTGGTATGGGAGGCATGGGTGGAATGGGTGGATACGGAATGTAGTCACGAATCAACAATTAGTTTGAATTGATTATTAGGTTATAAAATAACATTAATTTTGTCTAATCTTTTCTATTGTTTATCATATTTTCATAACTTTTCATAATTTCAGTTCAAAATCATGTGAAAAGTGTTTTGAAGTGAATTTGTTCTCAAATTATTACATTATATTGCATGTAGTTATCGATAGAATTTTTTAATTAAAATAAATACAGTTTATTATAAACTTGATTACTCCACTTTATTATATCTAGGCGGCCAAAAAAACCGCTCCCCTCGAAATTGGCTATATCTCCCAAGCGAAATGAGCTAGATCAAATCTTTAAAGTGCATAATCTAGTGTTTTTGTATAAAATTTATTGAAATCACGTGACTAGAACATTGATATTTTTGTGACATGCAAAATCTGTGAAATTCGCATATACGTGCATGCACTCATATGCGGGGTAATGCGGTAATTAAATGGTGTTCAGAATTGAGTTCTTTGGCGATACCATCTATGATTCGGTAACTTTATTCGCTTTTCTCCAATTAATATTTCAATAAATTTATACTATATTTAAACAATTTTATGTCTAAAAAACTAATAAATAGTTAATGAAATTTTTATAAGCAATACATCGGCGAATATTGTGCAGACATTATTTGACAATAAACTTGTCTTATATTTAACGCAATGAACTCTAAAAGCTTGTAATGAAAGCTTTTATTCAGTTTATCTATATTTATCTCAATATAAAGTATTTGGTTTATAAATACTGTCTTTAAAACTGACAGAACTCACAGTCACTCACAGTCTCTGCTATTATATGGATCTCATAAATGAGAGCATTTACTCGACTCTCACTTCAAGTGCTTTCACTTTTATTCCAATGTTTAAGTGAAAGAAATCTTAAAACAAAACAATGTTTTATTATTATATCACACTTTAGGAGATTTCAAACAGATTGATGTCTTTTCTAAACATTTATTAAATCAGCAAAATATTGATTATATTCGTTAAATTACTCGTATATGCGGTTTCCTATTGAGCGAGCGAGAGAGAGAGAGAGAGAGAGAGAGAGAATGTGATAAGATTTTGTTTACCACATCCTAAATACAAATCTATTTTTATTTTTTATTTTATTTACGTTTAAATTGGTTTAAATGTTGTTTAAATTAAAGTGTATTAAAAATTATTGTCAACATTTAAGCACAATAGTGAATACCTTTACACACCATTAATTTGACAGAATTGTTGTCATTATTATACAAAATGCATATAAATAGCGAGAACTGAATAATAAAATTAACAGATATTTTAGATAAAGTTGCATTGCTTTGGTCCGTGATCATGATCACTTTAATTTGGATTGTTTTTAATAAAATCTATCATAGTTTACGATAAATTGTAGTTGGTCAATAATATGGTTAATAGATTAGCTAAATGTCAGTTTATATCCAACCATTAAAATATATTGTAAGTTTGTTTGTAATACTCTTGACATTTAATTTAATTAATTACAAAACTTACAATAATGAGACCAAAATCTACACAATTATGTTATAATACTTAAGTTAATTACATATTCATTATCCATAATGTATTTATAATAAACCAATTGATGTAAACTTTTTTTAGATTAATTGTGTCTTTCTATGTATTTATATATAAATAATACATAACTAATAAACTCAAGTGTTCTTCTGTTTGGTGTAAACTTCACTCAAACACTAATAAATCATTTATTGATTCGTAGGGAAGAAAGCGCTACTTCTATAAGTGGTTTACCTAAATATCGCAAATGTTTTCATCTATTTTTGGCTGAATTTACTCAAAATCTTAACAAAATATTTTATGAATATTATTAACTTATCATTTAGTCGTCTCTACTTTATATTTACTTATATTTCTTACATTTCTTTATATAATAATGTTAATGTTATCCATTTCCCATTTTTGAAAAATATATTCCGGCAAAATAATTTTGCATCGGAATTCTTTTTATATTCCTTAAAATTGGGAAAATAAGACAAAAATGTGGTTAAACAATCACCAATCGATGAATATAAATACTTTTATTATATTTATTACAAGTAGCCTAACATGCTTAAACATCATAAAAAGAAGATTTAGTTAAATCTAATGAATTAATTTAATTTAAATTATTTTTCAATCAACAATTTAAAATTTCGCTCAAATGATGATGCTATATTTATTAATGTTATCCAACAATAAACTTTATAAAATTAATTGATTACTGTTTAATAAGATGATTTTTGTAATCTTTTTTATACTTTTAAAATAAAGTTTAGTTTATCCTTAATTAATACTAAAAATTTCTCTTTGTCATCCATTTTCCTGTTACATTTTTTGTTTTTCGTAGTTTTTTTTAATAAATTCCCTCACGAGAACATGGGAATTTTAGGAGCTTTAAATTAATTGATAACATTAAATAAAGTATAACATATACTAAAGTAAACTTTCGATCGATAAAGATTTTCTCCTCAATTCAATGAGAGATTTGAATTCAATTTCTACTAAATTATCACAACCTTAAGGGCTTATCATAATAATAAGTTTATTACACAAACCTAAAAATTATTACATTATACGTTTTAGCAATTTTTTAATACAAAGTATAGCTTACGCTAATTACAATGCAAATAATTTTATATTTATTTAATACTAATTGTATTATGTGTTAAATTTATATATAGATTAAAATGGTTTAGAAATCAAATGATGGGAACACATGGAAAGATTTTTCTCATCAATTTTTTATTTGAATAATTTAATGGTTTATAAAAGTTTTTGTTCGAAAAATACAATACAATATGCTTGTTTGCTTAATGAAAATAAAAGAATAATTTATTTATGAGCAAAGAATTGAAACTATTGTTTCAAAAACCGATTTATTTCAATCAATTCATTGATGCGAATAAAGCATTAAAATTCGGGAAATAAAGTATTAATGGTTTTTGTTATTTTCAAAGGAATTTTATTGAAAATATTCTGTATGACATATAATGGGCGGACCATAACAAATAAACTTAAATCACCATGCTAACGTTTTAATTTCAATTTAAATTCTGGATCTAATATTTACTTTTTTGTCATTTATTTGAACAATCAGTCCATCGATTCGTTGTTTATATATTAGTTTCTTATCTTTGTTTTTATATATTGAATCTTTTAGTGAATTCGTGATTCTTTGACATTTAATTTGCATATTTCTTTTGTAATTTTACGATAAATATCCTGTTTTTAATTAACTCTTCTTAAACAACATATTCACAACATTAGAAACTTATTAATATTTGTAATCTTGATATTATATTGTTATGTACTCTATATAACTGTAAACCTTTTAATTCTTTTAACAATGTTTGTTTAGGACTATGATAAGAGCAATAAATTACCCTATTTAAAGTATATAATACGAACAATAACTTAATACATGTATATTTCAGAATCTAAATATTATAAAAAACATTTGTTATCCGTAAACCCATATTATTAATATAATACCGATAAAAGAGTAGTGAATTTTATCATTCGTACGACAATAAAAAAACAAACTTTTTTCATTGCACTTAAGAATCCTTTTAAATATTTATCAATGTTTGCATTAACTTATTTGTAATAATTAGATAATATAAGATTTAATTAAAATACAATTAATTCATGATTGAAATGATAAAAGTATGTGTGATTTGGCTTAGATTTGAATACAAATTGACTGAAAATACAAAAAATTGGCAAAAGATGAAGACGTGATGTGCTCTACATATCGTAAGTAACTATAGAAACACTGGAAACAGGACTCACTCTCACTGCCAGAGACAGAGAGTTGGAGTAAAACGTCGGAAATGTTTAATTAGTGTACGTTTTGCTGACTATGCGTTTGTGTGTCACCAAAAAAGTTTGATTCTCTCATAGAATAAGTCACACCAGTGTTTGAAATATATCTTCATATGTATTACACACTCACTGTTGGCATCAATTACTGATCATTTGTTTAAATTGATTACATTTGTGCGTTTGGTTGAGTCCAACAACTATTTGAATGTCTCAAAACTCGAGCAAAACGATTGCTATTCAAGCGAATTGTTCGGAACAGACTTTCACTCAATTGGGTCTGTCTTTTGTCAGCTCTTTAGACCCGACTGTCACTCAAGACTCAATTGAGACAAACAATGACTATATGGATGACAACGAGTCTCAGCGTATAATTAAAGAATCGCATCTCAATTCATGGAAAACAGCTCTACTTTATATCAGTATTATATTAATCGTGTATTTAATGACAATCGTATTCATCGCCATTCGTTACGCTTTAAACAAATATTATAATAAAACTTTTTATTTGTTTTGTCCATTCGATTGTTCCCATTGTTGTCCATCTTGTCGTCCATCAAATATCTGTGGTTTATGTTTCAAATCACCGCAAAGACGACAAAACGTAAAATTTGATACTTTTTAATTTGTTTGCAAAAAACAATTTAGTACTTTTAAAATATTAAATTTCTTTTGACTGATTCTTTTGGCTAACAATTGCATATAACTTATAAAAGTTATTTATTGACCATTTTCACATTATTAAAAATCAAGAATAAATCATTCTAAAATCATAATATGATATATCATTACATATTATGTAAAGTTTATTTGATATATTTTAATGTTAATTATAAATAAATCCCTATTTATAAGAATACAATTAAATATTTATGGAGATTATTAATTATAACTTACAAATTATAAATAAGTTTGAATAATATATAAAGTTAAATTAAATTAGTTATATATTATTTACAAATATAGCTTGACAATAGTGTTAGGTTGAGTTTATTTAAGGATATTTAACTAGATTTTAAAAAATACTACAAAAATTATATTTACAAATATAAGGTTATTTTATATAATTTTGTTGTAATAATTTAATTTACAAAACTAAACTATTATACAATAGTATAGATTTTGTTTACATATTTGTCTCATTTTGTTGGTTCTTAAATCAATCAATGTTTCCAATGATTGATTGCCTTAAAAATAA